TGATAAGTAAGTTAGTCGTAAGAATTATTAGTTTCTATCAAAGAATCATCTGTTTTATGGATTCGAATCTGTGTTTGTATAAGGTTATTATTTTTCAATTCGTACAAAGTTTAAATGATTACCTTTTTTTATTTGTGTCTGTTTTGGTTATTTAGTTTTAAAATTAGACCTTTTTAATTTTTTTCAAAATTTAAGGTTATTATTAGTATTTTTTGATTAAACCTTGCATAATTGACTTAAATTTGATAGTGTATTTAAATAAAATAGTCATGTTTTTAATTACTAAAATATTGTAATATAAACTTGATTTTCGGGATATAGCTCAGCTTGGTAGAGCACCTGCTTTGGGAGCAGGGGGTCGTAGGTTCAAATCCTACTATCCCGAAATCAATAACGTAAAATAGTTTTAAGAAATTTAAGAGATTATTAATTCTAAAACGTAAAAGAACTGAGATCACTATAAAAATAATCTAGAAAATTTAATTTCAAAAAACTATTGATAGAATTTTGTTTCTTTTTTATACTGAATATTAAAATCTTATTAACGTAATTTAGAATTTTTAATGAGTTTAGACGAAAAATTTATTCCCATCCGTACTGCAGTTTATCAAATAGTTGAAGATTTTTTAAAAAAAATAGCAACATTATTTGGATATCCCCAAAATCCTGGAATGCCAACTATTTATGAAGTGCCAAATGAAACATATGTGAGGTCACAATTTTTTGATAATCTTCCAACACATAAAACTTATTGGCCTCCGGTCCAACAACCGGAAACCTGGTTTGAAATGATTCTGGGACCGGCACCCAAAGTTGAATTAATCCCACGATATATTTATGAAAATAAAGAAGAAGGATTTTATAGTTTTTATATTGAGAATTATAAAAATCTTTATTTCTTACCTGATTGGCTTTCGGAGTTTATTCAAGTTCAATTAAATATTTGTCTAGATATCAGTCTTTTAGAAACAATTCGTGAAGTCGTATTTATAGGTTTAATGATTTATTCGCAGATGGTAGTTGTTAGAATTGCTATTTCTTGGTTAATTTATATTAATCCCTATACTTTTCCATGGTGTTATCTTGCTGCGGCAGTCGATTGGACAGAAGATGTTTTACAAGGAATTGTACCTGCGATATTAGGTGTAAATATAACAGGTAGTGTATTTCTTGGAGTGCTTGGAGTTATAGCGGATAGTTTAAATCATTTAGTTTTCACTATGCCATTTCTTCCAAGTGAAGCTGAAGAAACAAAAGTTTTAATTAATAATGACATGAAAGATATATTAGTTTTTCATTATTTACCAATCTTGTGGTATCGTCATTCAATCCCAAATAATATAAGAGAATATTGGTACTATAAAAACCCTGAGATTTTAGAATATATGCAGAAATCTTATAAAAATTTAAATATTCAATTTTTACCTGATAATATTATTCAATATTTGAATTTAGAGACAACTGATCCATTCATAAGTCAAATTAGTACTCTTAGTAATTCATTATCCACACAACTTTTATCAATAGTCGATAGTAATTTTCTTTAAATTACATTAACCAAATCCTAGAGTTTTAAAACGAAAATCTAAAAATATTGCTCATCGTTATAAGAATGGCTTGAAATAGATTTTCTAGTCTTTTTAAGCCACTTTAAGATGAGTTTATAATTTTTTCAATAAAAGAAAGGTAGTATAAATAATAACTAAAAAACATATAAAGATTAAAAAAATAGAATTTATGGAAGAAATACACAATAATAATATTGACGTTCTTATAGAGAATTAAAATGCTTACAATTAAATAATTGGTGTTGGGACACCACAAGATTTACTTAAAGAAATGAAGCAAGAAAAAGCCTACTTTGTTCGATCTGGCACCCCGAACAACTTTGATATATTTTTTATTGATATTTCGACAATTTATTATTATATAATTTATCAATTACTAGACCTTTGTATTTTTGCCGATTTACCCCAAGATACGTTGAAATAACTATGAGTTAGCTATATAAGAGTCAACCGTTTTTTATATTTTTACAACTTTTCATAATTATGAGTAATGTAGAATTAGCTAAAAAAGTAATCGATAAGTGTGCTACTGAGCAATTACTTAA